AGTAAAAAAAAAAGTTGTTAATATTCTCACATACAGCTAATTGTATATTGACATATTGCATAGCAGCACTCAGCAAAGATACGTTTATTTTTTTTACAGAAATGGGTATTGTATTTCCTTTTTTAATGTATGAAACAAAACCATTGATGTGCATTATTGTTGCTAATAGCCAAGGTATATTTATTGAAGCAAACTCATTTTTTCACTTCACTATGTGAAATTAAATTGAAAATTTACTTTTACAGCATCCAAGTGTACCTTATGGGCAGAGCAATACCCAGGGATCAGTGTTTATAAATTAAGAGATGGGCGTTAAATATTTGTACAATGTAAAATGTCCGTTGACTGTACAATGATGTTTATCTTGAAAAAAAAAGGATAAGATCAAGACCTGAACTAGTAGTAAGAACTGTGTAATTGTAACTATTATTTCCTTCTAATTTTGCTAACTAATTTTCTAATTTTGCTAACTACATACTTCATTGACTTTATACATCCACATGACATCATGTTTCTTCAAATTTTGAGGCATTGTGTGATGCAAATGCACGCACCATAATTGACACAAAAGAAGCTACAAAGTATCCAAGCATATTTAAAAGATTTTGTATAAAGCACTTTTAAATATAAATCAAAAAATATGTGGCTGCCATGACTGGTTTTTATAACACAAATCATGTGTTGGCTTATAGCTGTTGAAATCCCTAGCTGCTGAATGTTCTAGAAATAAAATTATATTTTTCTTTTTCTGCACTCTATGGAATTTGAGGCCAATCTCTGAGGTTAAATCACTTTTTTGACCTCAAAGATCTTTCAGCAAGTATTCATAAGAAGCTGTCTCTGGAGCCTTCCACTTTAAGGTAACAAATGATATGAACTGTGTAGCTGGTAAAAAAAAAAAAAAAAGAAAAGAAAAAAAAGAAAGAAAAGTAAAGGTTTAGCTAATAGAATCTCATGTTATGTGAATGAGATTTTCTTTTGCCACATATTTGTTCATCTTTCATTTTCATTATTTATAGAAATTATTCTACCAAAAATCACATAATATTCCATAACCTATTAATACCTTCAAAAGATGTAAGATTTTACTTAAGGTAATAACCATAGTTATTAGGGGAAACATCTCTCTCCCACAAATGATTTTTACGTAAAGAGATTTTCTTTAAATACAAATGAGTTTGAGTTGCAACTTTCACTTCCTTAGACAAAGATGATCTGAGTTCTCTGGTAAGTCAGCAATAGTATTTACATTTCTTAATTGGTCAGAATTATTTAATAATTTATCAAGATTTCTGGATGTAGGATAAATTTGTTTCTTTATTTTTCGTTTTTCTAGATTGCTGTGAGAAGGAGCCATGTAAGTGAGTATTCTCTGCAATTGTTTTAGTTGAAATTTACAAACACTAGACTGAGAATTCAGTGAATAAGATGATTTTAACCTTAAAATCAATTTGATCAGTAATGTAGGTGATATTTGGATTCTCTGTTTTTCTTTCTTACTTATTAATTAAGGTATATTTCAGGAAATGATTTACTTTTTTTTTATTATACTTTAAGTTCTGAGATATATGCGCAGAATGACACTTGACACGGTGGTTTGCTGCACCCTTCAACCCATCATCTACATTAGGCATCTCTCCTAATGCTATCCCTCCCCTAGCCCCGCACCCTCCAACAGGCCCCAGTGTGTGATGTTCCCCACCCTGTGTCTATGTATTCTCATTGTTCAACTGCTACTTATGAGTGAGAACATATGGTGTTTGGTTTTCTGTGTCTGTGTTAGTTTGCTGAGAATGATGGTTTCCAGCTTAATCTATGTCCCTACAAAGGACATGAACTCATCGTTTTTTATGGCTGCATAGTGTTCCATGGTGTATATGTGCCACATTTTCTTTATCCAGTGTATCATCGATGGGCATCTGGGTTAGTTCCAAATCTTTGCTATTGTGAATAGCACTGCAATAAACATGTGTGCTTGTGTCTTCATAGTAGAATCACTGATAATCCTTTGGGCATATACCTGTAATGGGATTGCTGGGTCAAGTGGTATTTCTGGTTGTAGATCCTTAAGGAATTGCCACACTGTCTTCCACAAGGGTTGAACTAATTTACACTCCCATGAACAGTGTAAAAGCGTTCCTATTTCTTCAGATCCCCTCCATCATCTGTTGTTTCCTGACTTGTTAATGATTGCCATTCTAACTGGCATGAGATGATATCTCATTGTTGTTCGGATTTGCATTTCTCTAATGACCAGTGATGATAACCTATTTTTCATATATTTTTTGGCCACATAAATGTTTTCTTCTGAGAAGTGTCTGTTCATATGTTTTGCCTACTTTTTGATGGGGTTGTTTTTTTCTTGTAAATTTGTTTAAGTTCCTTATAGATTCTGGATATTAGCCCTTTGTCAGATGGATAGATTGCAAAAATTTTGTCCCATTATGTGGGTTGTCGATTCATGTTGATGATAGTTTCTTTTGCTTTGCAGAGCTCTTTAGCTTAATTAGATTCCATTTGTCAATTTTGGCTTTTGCTGCCATTGCTTTTGGCATTGCAGTCATGAAGTCTTTACCCATACCTATGTCCTGAATGAGATTGCCTAGGTTTTCTTCTAGGGTTTTTATGGTTTTAGGTCCTACATTTAAGTCTTTAATCTATCTTAAGTTTTGTATAATGTGTAAGGAAGGGGTCCAGTTTCAGTTTTCTGCAAATGGCTATCCGGTTTTCCCAACAACATTTATTAAATAGGGAATCCTTTCTCCATTGCTTCTGTCAGGTTTGTCAAAGATCAGATGGTTGTAGATGTGAGGAATTATTTCTGAGGCCTCTGGTCTATTCTTCCCATTCACTGGGAATTACTTCCTATTCAATCACTGCACTTACCATAATAATAAAATGTTTACTTAATTATCCATAAATTGTTTAAAAATTTTTAATTACACAGATCTATGTCCATTTCCCTTTATGAAAACTGGGTAAAGCATTTATATTAACTGAGCTCATATTTCTTTACTTTTTTAATCAAAGTTTAGTAAAAGATGAACATCATTGTTAATTTAAATCTTACACATCTTTTAAAAAAAATAAAAAATGGCTGTCCTTAATGTACGTTTCTATAACAAAAATAATCCTGGTAAGGGTTAAGGAAAATTTGAGTCATACCTAACATACCATAAAAAATGCAACATTAGTAAAACAGATAATGAATAAACTAGAGAAAGCTGTTTGGGATTTAAATATAATTCAAATTTGTAAATGTAATAGAGTATATAATAAGTGTATGCAAACAAATGTGCATTATAATGTTAGAGTAAAAAATGTTATTATCAAGAATCAGCTGAGAAAGTTGAAAAGCTTCACGAATTCTGTGTGAAGGGAATTCACATGGAATAGCACTGTACTTTTACCAAATGAAGTCAGTCAATTTCGTGAAGATTGTTAGGTGAAATGACTGATAGTGGTCAAAAAAAAAATTATCTGGTGAGTTGTATATTATTTATTTAGAGACAGAGTCTTACTGTGTCTCCCAGGCTGGAGTGTAGTGGTATGATCTGGACTCACTGCAGCCTGTGCCTCCTGGAGTCAAACGATTCTCCTGTCTCAGCCTCCTGAGGAGCTGGGATTAAAGGCATGTGCCACCACGCCTGGCTAATTTTTGTATTTTTACTATTTTTAATTTTTGCATTTTAAGTTTTGTATTTCACCACGTTGGCCAGGTTGGTCTTGAACTCCTGACCTCAAATGATCTGCCCCTCCTCAGCCTCCCAAAGTGCTGGGATTACAGGCATGAGCCATTGTGCTTTGCCAAATTATGTATTTTTAAATTGGTATGAGTAGATCAAAAATTGGATTTGTGTGTATGTTTATTTATGTCTGTCTGTCTTCATGTGTACTACAATATAAAATGAGACTATAAAATCTGCTTGGTAATTAAAATTAAAAATTAAGGATTCAAATAAAAAGCACAAGCTATATAGTAAGAATAATTTTATAATTCTGATTTTGACTGTCATAAAGCATTATGCTAACCATATTACTACAACTGCTACTTCTACTAAGTAAACCAAGAGGTATTAGACCTATTTCTTGATGGTAATATGGTATTTTGCTATCCACCAACACTCAGTTGGGCTTATACATTACTTTGTCTAGCTGGCCTTCCAAAATTATTTATTAACTAATCATTTTGTCTTGGTTCATATATATGATTAGAATATAGAATTATGTTCTCTATTATATTTAATTATACATTCTAATTATATATATTCTATGTATTATATTCGATATTACTAGAATACAAAATATATTAATAGAATACAGAAACATCTTAGCGTATCCATATCCATCCTATCACAATGATGCTCACTCCCTGAAAGACCTCCTGTGCCCATGAGGTCCGGTGCATTTTGGAGTTTTTATCGTGATAATCAATGGTCTGTTCTTGAGACTGGTGTCAACGTTCAGTTCTTGGGCTGTTATACACCTATCAGTTTGTGTTGCTTTATGTGGAAAACACATATATTTGGTTTTAGAGATTACAACTCAACATTGCTGTATAATCTTTCATTTGGAGGAATCAAAAATTTCAATGCATGTGTTTTCTGTATTTTACACCTGAATTGATAGTGACTTATGGAAACTGAGATGAGACTGTGGGGCCATACTTGTTTTGCTTATTATGTCAAGAAAGTATTCATTGGTGTTTAATCATTGCAAAGCATGCTGTTGTTTTGCACAGGTTGATTGTAATAAAAACAGCTTATAATAGGAAAGCAATGACTTAGCAGATAGTTGCACTGCTTTGATTATAAGAAACAATGTCCCTTGGAAAGAAGTTAAAATTATATCTAAACTTATATGTAGGGGTGTGATAGGATATTAAAATGAAAGATTGAGCTGAGACAAAAATATATTTTGAAGTGAATAGATACTATAAAAATATTTCAATATATTTTCTTTATTGAAACTTCTGAAGCTAGGTTAGGCTGAGTTACGAAATATAAAAGCCACTATTTCAGTTTCCCTTGCTTTTAGGCATAGCCAGATGAACAGGTTCTAGTAAACGGGATGAATCAGTAACTGGAATTGTGTCGCTTCTGAAAAGTGTTCTTAATGGGAAATAACTTTTTTCTCCTCATTGCTGGATTTTCAGGTTCTCACCCTGTAGACTTTTCATTTGGTCTGAAGGTCGCCGTGCATTTTGTAGGTGTTATACTGGTGGCTAGTTCCAGATGCAGATGTCATTATGATTCCAGCCAATGAGGGTTATACTACATGGACGATGGAGTAGAGAGCTGGAAGAAATACAGATCTTTGATAAACCATTGATGTAGATTAGGTACCTTGTGACAGGAGATATATCACATATTACGCCCCCACTTCATGTTTCTGGGAGATTGCGGCAGTTAGTACATTTCCTTCCAGCTGGGCTGCCTTCGGAAACCGTATCAGTTTCTTTCTGTCACTGTATGCCTCTGTTTTATTCTTTTCCTTTCAGAGTTCTTTAGTCCTAATACACACTTCGGGTTTTCTTTATTCCTTCTACATTTTCTGAACTCCCCCTTCCCAGATTCTGTGGTCGAAGTAAATAATCTGGAACTTTTTGAAACACTTCCCAACAATTATTGTTGCCATTTTATATTACCCAGAAGGGTTGATTTATTCATTGGAAACTTATTTAATAAGCTAATTTTAGCTTACTAAATTTTAGTGAATTTATTAGCTGTTATTGGACAACTATACATTAGTTTCTAGATAACATTATAATGCTTAGTCTTTATGTTCATTAAAAATAAAGGTCAGATTATATAGTGTGAACATTTTAGGCCATCAGGCTTGTCAGCAGAGACAGTTAAATACCTCTCAAATTTTTACACAAAGGCGGCTACATCCTCTGCCCATGTGTATGTCCAGAATGGCTATAAAGTAGGTGCCAATTAATAAATTTAATAAATTTACAACAAGAACTATCTTGCAAACACACACACCCACACTCTTTGACCTTCACCTCAGGACAGTACCATAACTCTGTAAGTATGGAATTCTCATATTTCATGTATACACTGTCGACTGTTATTGAGGAAAAAGTCAAAGAGAACAGGTCCTTGTTTGGCAAACTAGATGACAGGATGAATACTCAGTTTACTGTGACAAAGTAGGCAGTTCTAAGATATATAGCTCCTAGCAATGCTTTGGAAAGGAAATTTTCCTTAGATGGCTCTATAGAAACTCTGTGAACAAGCTGTTATATCTTTTACAAATCTGCCAGCTACTTTTTATGAGCTTCAGTTGCTCTTTATGACTATAATAAAAGGAGAGTAGGAGCCATGTGTATATCCAGTGGTCCCCGAAGCAAGCATCCTTATGCAGAAAATGTAATGAGATCGTAGGATGTTCTTTCCCTTAAGCTGCTGGATGCTCTCTTAACTCTTGTTTTGACACCATTTTGTTGTGCCTATAATAATAAAGTACATGTGAAATGTTTCACAGATTTCAGTACTGCTAATCTCATAATTGGCAACATAGTATGTCCACTATCAACAAAGAACACACAAATCAATAAGGAAATGAAAATTTTAAATAATTCAAACATTCTATTTGATAGACACCTTGTCATTTAGATATATATTTGTTAACAGTGCAATGCAATTATATTTTAAAATAACTTATACCATTAAGCATAAATTTGCTATAATTATTAAAGTACAGATAAAATACCTTTATATAAAAATATCAACTCATTTTATAGCAGTGATAGATTTCTAAATTTATACCTTAAATTCTACATCAATGTAGATATTCTTTCATAATATTAACCTCTCATATTCTTTTTACCAAACTATAGTTTGCCATTTAAAAAGTAGAAATAAACAATTTCAAAAAAGTATGTTTCATAGTCACTATATGTCATAATATATTGTTCACAATAACATGTAAGAACTATGTTGAGTTTTAATTCCAAAAATTGGCATGATTAGTTTAAAACATATTTTAGGTACAATGTGTCTTAAGTGACTAATATTTCTTTGACATCTTGAAAACCCATAGCTACATTGTCTTCTTATAGAATGATGTTTTGGTGTAATGCAAATGAACATGTAAGAATTCAGTGCATCTTACTCAAAGCTATTTCTTTCTCTTCTGAGGTCAGCACAATGGTGTTTATTTCTCTCTACCTATGTCTTCATTTTTCATAAAATAAAATCTAAGCATAACAATTGATATAAAAGTAACTCTGTAGCATCCTGGTCTCCCTTGCTACGGAACTGCTATCAGTTTGAACCGTACATTATACTTCATCATTAAACAAATTTTAAATCCGCATAGAAAAGTTTTGCCTCCTTGTTCACCTTAGCTACAGCTATTTACTTGTCTTTGTTCTTTTATCTTTCAGTTAGTTTTAGATTTAATTTTGACATCACTTTTTTTTTTAAATTAATTTAATATTATTATACTTTAAGTTGTAGGGTAAGTGCATAACGTGCAGGTTTGTTACATATGTATACTTTGCCATGTTTGGTGTTGGCTGCACCCATCAACTCGCTCATTTACATCGGGGTATAACTCCCAATGCAATCCCTCCCCCCTCCATGATTAGGCCTCCGGGTGTGTGATGCTTCACCTTCCTGAGTCCAAGTGATTCTTCATCTGTTCAGTTCCCACCTATGAGTTGAGACATGCGCGTGTTTGGGTTTTTCTGTTCTTGGTGATAGTTTTTCTAAGAATGATGGTTTTCCAGGCTGCATTCCCGGTCCCTACAAAGGACACAAACTCATCCTTTTTATGGCTGCCATAAGGTATTTCCATGGTTTATTATATGTGTCCACATTTTCTTAATCCCCAATCTGTTCACTGATGGACATTTGGGTTGATTCCAAGTTTTGCTATTGTGAATAGTGCTGGCAATAAACATACGTGTGCATTGTGTCTTTATAGCATGCGTAATTTATAATCCTTTGGATATCCACAGTAATGGGATGGCTGGGGTCATAATGGGTTAACATTTCTAGTTTACGATCCCTTTGGGGAGAATGCCATACTTCATTTTCCCATAATGGTTGAACTAGTTTACAATTCCCACCAAGACAGTGTAAAGTGTTTCTCCTGATTTCTCCACCATTCCTCTCACGCACTGTTGTTTTCCCTGACTTTTTAATGATCCATTCTAACTGGTGGCTGAGATGGTATCTCAATATGTGGTTTGATTTGCATTTTCCTGAATGGCCAGGTGATGAACATTTTTTTCATGTGTCGTTTCTGTTGGTTGTATGATGTCTTCTTTGAGAAATGTCTCGTTCACCAGTAACAGACAAACAGAGAGGCCAAATCCAGAATGAACTTCCTCACAATTGCCTTCAAAGAGAATAAATACCTACGGAAGCCAACTACAAAGGATGTAAAGACCTCTTCAAGGAGAACTTACAAACCACTGGCTCAGTGAAATCAAAGGAGGACAACAAAACTAAATGAAGAACATACCATGCTCACTGGGGATAGGAAGGAATTCAAATCGTGAAATGGCCATACTGCCCCAAGGGTAATTTATGATTCAATGCCATTCCCATCAAAGCTTACCAATGAGTTTACTTCACAGAATTGGGAAAACTGCTTAAAGGTTCATATGGCGAAACAAAAAGAGCCCGCATTCTTCCAAGACAATCCTTAGTCAAAGCAGACAAAGCTGGAGGCATCACGCTTACCTGAACTTCAACTATACTACGCAAGGCTTACACGTAACCAAAAAAAGCGCATGGTTACTGGACCAAAACAGAGGATATAACGACCAATGAACAGAACAGGAGGTCCTCAGAAATAATAACCACCACATCTACACGCCCATCTGATCTTTGACAAACCCTGAGAGAAACGAAGAAGACTGGGGAAAGGATTCCCTTTTAATAAATGGTGCTGGAAAATGGCTTAGACCATAAGTAGAAAGCTGGAAACGGATTCATTTCCTACTCCTTATACCGCAAATAATTCAAGATGATTAGGAGGATTAAATGTTAGACCTAAATACGCTAAAGACTTCCTAGAGGAAAACCCTAGTAGTACCATTCCAGGACATAGCGAATGGCAAAGATTCATGTCTAAAAAACCAAAAGAACAGCAGCCAAAGCCAAATTACAAATTGGGGATTCTCATTAAACTAAAAGAGGATTCTGCACAGCAATAAGAAGTACTTACGATCAGAGTGAAAGGGCAACCTACAGAAATGGGAGAACATTTTGCATCTACGTCAATCTGACCAAGGGCGTCATATCCAGACCCTACCAAAGAACTCAACAATTTACTAGGAAAAAAACGAGAACAACCCAATCAAAAGAGTGGGGCAAAGGATCATGGACATCACTTTTTTAACTAAAGTTGTTGGTGACTTCGTTTTGAGTGCAGTGTCCTGAGCACATTATTTTCTCTTGTTGCTCTTACGTCTATACAATTAGTGCTTTTACATTATTGGATACATAAATATTGACCCAATTCATCCAACATCACCCTTGCCAAAAATAAACAGCATTTATTTTGCTTTTCTGCCTTTTCACTATCTGTTGATTTTACATAGAAGCCCTCTTCATTCTCTACATTTTTCTTCATCTTATTCGTCATTTGGATCTTATCTCTTCTATCAACACTTCATCAGTGTCCAAGATTTTTCTAACTCTTCATTCTTCTGTACTACTACATTTATTACCGGTTATGCTTTTCATCTGACAGTTTGAATGTTCTTCATGTTGTCATTAGTGTTGTTAATTGCTTAAAAAAAAACGTGTCCTGCATCCTCAACTAGGTTGAAAACCCTGAAGAAAGAACTGGCTCTTAACATGAGTTTTGACGGTTGATCTGGGAATGTTCTTAGGTAGACCAATGAATCTTTTGAAATTATAGATAAGACAATGTCTTTATGTGCATTTCTATGTATACTTTTTTTTTTTTTGCAAAAACATAGCGTCTAAGTCTTTACCAATTTAACAAAGGCATTCATGTGTAAAATCCATTGATCTAAAATAATAAAAATCATAGGTTGCACTTTTTTCTTCCATAAGGCACATAAGTCAAAAGTCCTTAATAATTTCCCAAACTTTAGGCTCTTAGTTGGAATCCCTGGAGTGATATTCCCAGAAGTGTAGAAAAACCAGAGCCAGACAACGACTAACAAACAAATGCAATCAAGCAATAAGTTAGCTCAAATCCATATTGGTCCTGTCTCCTATTGGGTTGTATTGCTTATATTTTTTAAGAATTATTTTACACATTTTATTTTCTCATGAGATATGTTACAGATAGTAATTTTGTA